ACTATGTATAGTGTTCAGCCTGCATTTATGCCCATAGGCCAGAAGTGGGTACCATATCTCACTACTGGTGGCTATGAGCCACCACATGTGGTTGCTGGGAATTGAACTTGTGAACTCTGGAAGAGCAGCCAGTGCTCTTAACCTATCAGCCATCTTTCCAGCCCCCAACAAAATTCTTTATTTTTGTTTTTGTTTTTCCAAACAGGTTTTCTATGGCTTTGAGGCTTTCCTGTACTCACTCTTTAAAACCAGGCTGGTCTCAAACTCAGAGATCCATCTGCCTCTACCTATCCCAAGTGCTGGAATGAAAGGCATGCACTATGCCCAGCTTTTCTTGGGGGAGGTGGGCAAAAGATTTGAATGGAAAATTTACACATGTCTCATCAGTACGTGAAAAGACAACACCATTAGCCCTTAGGAAATGGAGGTGATGCCATTTAAGACCACTATGACACCTACAACAAAAGAGGACAATGATAACAACTGCTGGGTGGAGGTCAAACAACCCTTTCCCAAGGGCCCCATATCAGATATTTACATGTGACTTGTAACAGTAGCAAAATTAGCTATGAAATAGCAGCAAAAATAATCTATGGTTGGGGTCAGCACAACCCTAGGAGGGTTATGTCATTAGAAAGGTGGAACCACTGCTGTCCAGAGCCATCAGTCATGGGTGATAGGTCACGAGTCGTCCTTGCACGCAAGTGCTCCTGTGTCAAACAAACATCATTTGGCTCCAAGGGGCAGCTCCCCAAAGCACCTGAGCCCAGGCGGAGCACTGCCACTCACCGAGCTGTTCAAGCATCTTGTCACATTCGTCCAAGATAAAGTGTTTAATGTGCTTGAGGTTCAGGCTCTTATTTCGAGCCAGGGCTAGAATTCGGCCAGGAGTCCCCACCACGATGTGTGGGCAGTTCTTCTTCAGCACCTCTTCATCCTTCTTGATAGACAGACCGCCAAAAAACACTGCCACCTGTCAGCCAACAGCAAAGTGTCACAGGAAAGGGCAAGGATCCAGTCTCCTGCAGAGTCTCCTTTTCTTCCTCTCACTGAGTAGCCCAGGCCCCCTGAACTGACTTTGTGGATCAGAAGAGCCTGTCACTGTACTAAAGGCTCCTATGCAGCCTTCAGGAACTCATCAACTACAGCGGCTCCATGCCTCAGGACAGTCAACTGTTACCCCACAAGCTCCCAGGACCTCCGCTGTCCCAGGCTCCTCACCCTTACCTTGACATTCGGCATGTACTTTGAGAAGCGCTCGTATTCCTTGCTGATCTGAAAAGCCAACTCCCTAGTGTGACACATCACCAGCACAGACACCTTCAAGGGAACAAATGGAGACAACACCCTATCAGTCCTTTGTCACCCTCTCTCCAGAGTGTCTGTCAACAGCAGCATCTGCCAAATTGTTGGTGACATCAAATCTGAGGTTTATACCAGTAAGCCTTGCTGCTGTAAGCATTATGTAGCCACAAACAGCCTTCAGTGTATCGGCCTCAAAGCCCTCTGCAGCACTGCCTCAAACACACCTGCCCAGTGATTGGCTCCAGCTGCTGCAGTGTGGCCAGGACAAACACTACTGTCTTCCCCATGCCTGACTTGGCCTGGCACAGGACATCCATCCCCAGAATGGCCTGAGGGATGCATTCATGCTGGACTAGAAGGAAAAAGGGGAGAAAGAGAGAGACTTTATGCACCATACCAAACCCCTTTCCTCGAGTTGATTCTCCAGATTTTGCCTGGTCCCTGTCACTTTTCAGACTGACCCATCCTCTCTGTCCCCTTAGTCACATTTACACCCAAATCAAGTCTCAACTGCATCCTAGCTTCAGGTTTCCCTGGCGCAAACCCTCTTGCACCTACCAACAGCTTACCTTCCATGTGCCTGGCATTCTATAACCTTGGACAAAATGAAGGACTTGGTACTTGCCCCAGAAGCCAGCAACTTTAGAGCAATCATTAAGACCCCAGGTGGCCTGGCCCAAAATACTGGATGTAAAACTCCAGCCAAACAGTCAGAAAGACGATCAAGCAAACAAGAAAACCTGGGCACAGGACAAACAGCATCCTGTGTGATCAAAGCTAACAAGCATCTTCTAGCGCTAACATCTGGGTACATTCTCATTGCCTGGCCTATATACCCTAAACACAAATCCCATCTTTAAGATGCATCATGAGGTCCCTATGCCCAACAATAAAATGTACCCTCTGATGGATGCTCAAAGCCACAGTCCACGATGGCCCGGAGCAACTCTGGCTTGAGCAGGAAGTCTCGAAAGCCGGAGCTGTGGATGGAGACGTAGGAGCCCTTCACGTCTTTCTTGGCAGGAGCTTCCGTCCCATCTCCACCTGCTGCTGTCTCCACCTCGTCGTCTTCATAGTCCAAGAGCTCATTGTCCACATCATTCTCTGCCATAATTGGGCCGGCAGGGGAGAAGGGAGGTCTTTGGGTGAGTGGTCCCAGAGAAGGTGAGAAAGCAAGGGGGAGAGAGGGGGCTGAGGAACAGCAAGGGAAGAGACACCAGTTTCCCGACAGAAGAGCTGGGAGAGAGAACAAAAAAAAAAAAAAAAAAAAAGAGACACAAACACACGAGAGAAATTCCCCCTCCCCCCCACTTT